TTTTTTGGAATTAGCATAAGAAATAATTAAAATAGAATAATAAATTGGTCAGAAATTAAACACTTTATTTTTATGGGCTTCAATGGTAACAAATAAGAAAAAACTGAATTGGCCCAAATTTTTGCCTTCCCAGACATATGAATCTCGTACCATACATAAACTAAAACGTACCTTATCCGTTAGATGTATGTATATATTCATTGAATGTTTATATAGAAAGTGGGGGGGTAATCTTTCGTGTAATCTCTTCACCCAGCACTCGATTACGCCATGTTAACATTCTGAGTGCACTCATGCTTCTCATCTTTTTGTCCATAAAGTCTCTTTTCCCACTTTGTTTTTTAATCATATAAAAATTGAAAAAAAAAAAAAAGAACATTATTCTTACGCCTCTGTATTTCTTTTTAATTATTTTATCTGGGAGGAGAGGTAATTTAATACCTTTTCTCAAATCTACATATATTAAAAGCCTTGCATCTATTAATTATTTTATTATGTATACATTTTTTTTTTTATTTTTTTTTTAAAATATATATATATATATATATATATATCCAAAACTCTAACTCTGAGTTATATTTAAAAAAAAAAAAACAATAGGATAATACCCAAATTGGAATCATATTTTCCACAACACTATTTATTAAGTCGTCTACGATAAACAAACAAGTGGTTAATGGCATGACAAGGCGGCTAGGTGCGCCAAAACCTTCCTGGTTTTGATGCCTCCAACAACAATTCCCTCTTTGGCCTTTATTTAATCTCTGTCAACCATCAATGGCTCAACCTCCAAAGTCCGACGCCGACACCGACGCCGATGCCGGAGCTGTGTTTGTCCTCCAGTCAAAAGGTGAAAGAAAGGACTCTTGATAATTTATTTTTGTTAGAAAAAGGAAAATTTTATTTTATCAATCGTATATGTTTTTTGGTTGGTAGGAAAATGGTGGCATGCAGGGTTTCATCTGACGACGGCGATAGTTGGACCCACAATACTGACGCTGCCGTATGCATTCAGAGGATTAGGATGGGGATTAGGGTTCTTTTGCTTAACGACGATGGGTGCTGTTACCTTTCTATTCTTACTATCTCATGTCGAAAGTGCTGGACCACTGCGAGAAGGGCTGGACGCCGCCATATCAGATTCCGTGAACTGGCCGCCGATGTTTTAGGTAACTCGGAAAACGATAACAATCTTTTCTTATTTTTTGTTTCTCTCACTGTGTTTCGGAAAAATTAAAGAGGACATCAAAAGAAATCTTTCTTGGGTTTTCTCTAAATGCGCAAATCGCGGATCGATGATGGGTTTAAATTTGTCCGGTTGACTTTTTGGGGGATCGGAATTGGATGAATTGTAAGAATTTGAACACGTGTTGATATTTCGGGTTGTGACCGGGTCTAAAAGGATCCACACCCGACTGAACATAATGGAAGAAATGGAATTCCACTCAACCGTCTTTCTAAAAGTTTTCATATAGAAATAAAGATTTCATTTTATGACGGAGTTTTTTCGGTGTTACCAACTTTTTTAACTGTTAACTGTTTTTAAGTTTCGTCGGACAAAATTAAGTTACATATAACGTCTAACCGATTTTCAATTAAATTGTAGTTTGCTTTTAAAATATTCTTTCATCAACTGCGCCGTGTATTGAGTATATATTTTATATGGAGGGAATGTAAGCTCGTATTATTTAATCCCACTTTGAGAAAATTGAACAACAAAATCTTGTTTCTTTTGCATTTAAAATTTTAAAGATGCGCTGAGAAGCTCATGTTGAATTTTCAAACAACTTACTCGTTATGGGGTCCATGCATGTGGACTGGGAATATTGCCTTTCACCGCTACTAGCATATATATATATACACACACACACACTTTGACTATGTAATATTCTTTTACCACTGAAACCCTCAGTGCACGTGTGTGTATACACACACACACACACACAAACGCGTATATAATAAGTGAGATTAAAGAATCATAAATAATAGGTTTGGATAATTATGTATATGTATTGTTAATTTTAATAAAATTTATGAATTTATATTGAAAAATTAAATTCTTAAAGTGTATGATTTTTGATTTATTGCAGGGTCGGGGTGGATGTTCTATTTTGTGATATTTATTCAAACAGCTATCAACACGGGGGTTGGAATAGGAGCAATTTTGCTCGCAGGTCAATGTCTCGAGGTATTTATTTATGATTTATTTATCTTCAATACATATATATATATAACCATTTAAATGATGACAAAGTCCTTTTCTAGTTTGGTGGGGTGGTGGATTGGACCACTGTTATATTTATATTTGTTTCACAATCAGCATGTAGTATAGATTTTTATTTTTATTTTTTTAATTTAAAAAAAGTAAGAAGACAGTTTTGTTCCATGACAAGTCTGTAGCTAGTAGTCCTTATTAGTAGTATCTTCACATTCGTCAAAGAACTAGTAGATTCTTATTTTCAATACCCAAATTAAGTAGATGATTAATTTCTGTTCTTCAGAAAAAAACAGACTCATCAAATCATGAGCTTTTAGTGTTTTATGTTTGGGATAATTTAGACTACTACTTTATTATGGTGGTGAAATAGAATTGTTTATATCTTTAGCAAATTCAACTTTTGTTATACATACATACACACATATAGTGAAACTTCATATAATTTTGAAATATGTTTCTTCACATAAATTTTTTTTGTTAGTGTATTTTAATATTTATATTTATACTAAATTTATTCTTTATTTTTTTTTTATTTATAAAAAACAAATAACAATCAAATTATATTCATATCTAATGATTTATTATTTAATAAATGACTAAAAAATAATTCACCGATATAATTTTAATATTTCTTACTTTATACATAAACAAAACATTCAAAATCGTATTTAGTTTACCTTTTTTTTTTTTTTTTTTTTTTTTATTCTTATTGTACATTGACTCAACAGATCATGTATTCCAATCTTGCTCCCAATGGCTCCTTGAAACTATATGAATTTATAGCAATGGTAACAGTGGTAATGATATTTTTGTCTCAACTTCCAACCTTTCACTCCCTGAGGCACATCAATTTAGCTTCTTTACTTCTCAGTTTGGGCTATACTTTCTTGGTGGTCGGTGCTTGTATTAATGCAGGTACCCTCAATATCTCTTACATCTATTACATCGATGGTAATTAAGTTTGAATTGAATCATAATTTAAAATGATTGTTTATATATTAATAAAATTATATTTGCAAAATTCATGTTTAGTTTAATCAAGAGAGAATGTTAATTATGTTAGAATGACAAAAAAAAATTAATGTTACGTGAAGTTTTATATGAAATTGGAACAATGAATGTCATACTCGTGCAATTTTTA